TAAGTCAAAACACTGCCAGGGAACCATCCAGTTGTTTGGGATTTTTGGAAGGGAAAAGGGAGAGCAAAATTAGACACATCTTCACAATATTGACATTTATGTTAGGAAATGATTAAGCAATGATTAGACTGTGCTGTTTGTCATATACAAAATATTACATTAGGATGCAAAGATATGGGGAAGACATGGCCTAATGGTTAGAGAGTCGGACTCGTAACCCAAAAGGTTGCGGGTTCGAGTCTTGTAACGGCAGGGATTGTAGGTGGGGGGAGTGAATGTACAGCGCTCTCTCCCACCTTCAATACCACGACTGAGGTGCCCTTGAGCAAGGCACCGAACCCCCAACTGCTCGCCGGACGCCGCAGCATAAATGGGTGCCCACTGCTCCGGGTGTGTGTGTTCACTGCTGTGTGTGTGCACTTTGGATGGGTCACGTTAGTCAAGCTCGCATCAGCTGACCTTCAGCTGATCCTCATCTACCTATGGGACTACGACACCTATCCAAGCATTCATATATAAGGTCCCTCAGTATTATCAGCAGTTTTTGCATTGCTCAATAGCTAATTACCCTCCTCCATCCCCAGCTCCTCCTCTGTCAGTCAGGATTCAGCCTTCTGATTCTCGTTGAGTCAAACTAATTCTAAAATGTCTACATAAAATGATTGAACTTTAACAATATCTGCAATACATTTATGTTAGTTCTGTTCACCCTGGGGGGTATTGCTGCTCGCCCTGCTCTCATCCATGCTAGGCTGCATGGATGCGCAGGGAGTTCTTGCCCAGAACAGAACCATACCGCCAATCCAAACTGTATGCTAATTGTCAATCGTCTTTGACGATAATGGTCCTGACAGAAAAAAAAAAACAATTTACATGTCATTTGAAGGTAGTACAGGTTCATATTTGAATAACCCCTGCGACGGAGCACGCACATAAAGTGTATTTATATGCCTACTATATGCATGGTTTTATGAGCTGATTCATGTTACAAAAATAATATAAATTTTGTTATGAAAGTGCATGTGGTTGATTGCATAAATGCTTAGACTAGTGTTAGAAGTTGGTCATCTAATTTGTACAAGACTGGTCATAAGTCTTAATAACTGGTCAATAAGTCGGTTACATAAAAACGTACACTCTAAAAAAAAATGCTGGGTTGTTTCAACCCAAAGTTGGGGAAAATTTGGACTAACCCAACTGTTGGGTTAAATTTTGGTTAAATTTTTAAATTAACTTTTTAACCCAACATATTTGACCCAACATTGGGTTGAAACAACCCAGCATTTTTTAGAGTGTAGATTGGTTTAATTTGAATCGGAAGAGAGACTAATTGCCCCTTGAATTTATGCAGCTATTTTCTTTCTTATAATACATTTTCTCTTAGCATTTCGGTGCGGTGATAATTTAATCGGCGCTCTTTACTCTATTACTCCATGGTCAAACTTTGTAAAACCTTAGAGAACAACCAGTCTTCTAGAAAAAGACACGCGGACAAGCGCACTTGTTGATTTGAGGCAGGACAGAGCTAAATAGGATTTCGCTGCAGAATAAGAATACTTGGCACCGCACGAGGGGGGAAGGAAATCTGTTTTCCACTGCTGTGCAGGACTCACTTCCCTGCAGTGCATACTTGAGCACATGGACGCAGAAGTGCTTTGAAATGACACCTCTTATGGACTTAGATAGACCATGATGAACACGAGGAATGCATGCCAAAGAATCAGGTCTCCGTAAGATGCGAGTAAAATCCAAACCACACAGTGTTGCTGCGCTACTGTCAACTCTCTGCACAGGAATATTGCCGTTCCATTCGAGCCAGTTTATGCAATAAACGCAGACAGTTCTGCATATAGCAAAGCATTGACAGCGGCGACTGATTTGCTGGGTTAATCTCGCAACGATTGCAACCAGGTTTGCGTGGACCGCGCTGCAACAGCTGCATTTGCGCTCGGACTTGGAGAAGCTCTCGCGCATGGGACCTACCAGAGAGGCTCAGAGATGTTCTCGTGGAATATGGACAGAATGATTGATGTGGAAGCTCCAGAACGGTAAACGACCCGTGTGCGCAACAATGCAGCGAATTCTCCAGAGGAGACCAAGGATCCGCACACTGCGCTTGGTTTGGTCGCTCATGGCCGTGCTCGCGCTGTCCCTGGCCGTGTGCAGTGCCATATTTACAGCGTGGACAATGCGACAAACGCGGGACCTGTCCAGGTCTTTCCAAACTCTGCAGGAGCGCTTAGAGCAGGTAAACGCGATGTCTTTTAAGTGCACGTCAGACGCATGCATGCATTCCCAAGCACATTTGTCAAAACATTTCTCTCTAATCACGCAGTGATTTTGCAACTATGCCTTTTCTTTCTTTTAATCACGAGGTAGGTTATTGGTCCTGAGCTTGAAAGCCCTTTGCAAGTCCTTTTTGGGCAGGTATAGGCTATCAAGAAGAATGTAATCGTATAATTTCGAGGCACTTGAATATACAAACATACAGCTGCGGCACCGCTGGGGGTCTGCGGGACGCGTTTTATGACCCTTCCAGACTTTGCGCGCGGGGTGCTGTGAATTATGGCTTATTTAGTTTCTAAAGTCGCTGCCAAGTGTGATGCTTCTGTTGCCAATTTTGCTCCATGTTTAGGGCAATTTACTGGAAATCTTAGACTACTTGGCACGAGGGCGTTTCGAAGCCAATTGACATTGCCTTTTAAGCATCGCGTCTCGTAAACGCGTTTGTGTAATTATGGTTAAATGATTTGCAACTTGTAAGCTACCATTTAGAGCTTGCCCTCAGATACAGATGGGCAACTTTGTCACGAGTAGCCTGTTGTTGTTGTCATTATGAGCATTGTTTTATTTACTGGAACATATATACACATACATAAATCACTAAAAAGCTGTCATTCATCTTAGTTCATCGCGATCTCACAAAGATACGTTATCTTTTTTTTATTTTTTATTATTGCAAGTATAAACACTTAACATTCAACAATTAATGTAACATTGGATGACATTATGAATACAGAAATTATATAAGACAAAGAAAAAAATAAATACATAGATAAAACAAAAAATACAGAGGAAGATACGTTATTATCAGTAAAGTTATGTACGCTCCACAAGCATAATCATATAATGAGATGATTCGTGCTGAACATTGAGTCAAAAGTATTTTTTTTAATAGTATATTAATTTAAACAACTATATTCATTTAGTAACAAATATATCTTAGTGTAGGCTATATCTTTAGAGTTTTATAATTCATTATCTTGTCGATCCACCAGTTCACATTTACAACTGCGTGTTTTCTGCGTAAAAATAAGGGTCGTTTTTGGCTTTGGTCTAAACAGATCAGAAGGGCTTATTGAAAAATGCAAATTCATTCTCTGCCAGCAGGTGGCGCTTTTCGCCAGGAATATAGCCGTGTCTCCCGTAACCGCAGTAAACAAAGCAGCGCAGCACCTGACTTTGAAACTTGCAGCGCTCATATTTAATCAATTAAATAGCCGTTTGAAGTGTAAGCGGTATCTCAATTTACATGTATATTTAGTTTTTTTCCACTGGAGCACCACCTGATCTCCCATTGTTTCCTAGCCCTGGTACTTCCTGCGCACATATCAATAGCATCGCTGGGCTGTAGGTTGCCAAGTTGAGGGGACAAATGGGTTGAAATTGGAATGTGTCGATCGTGTGAGAAAGATGTGTTTCATACAAGATCTGGCAACTGGACAACCTTGGAATTTGTTGTCGTGATTATTCATATAATGAGGTTCGGCCCTTACATATTATGGGAGTTTTACTGGAAGCAAATGTAGCAAACAAAATACACCCAGTGGGATTTTTCTCAAATAGAAAGATTAAAAATACGGGGAAATATTTAAGCGGGATGATAGCGGGGTAGAATGGTAAAATACGGGAGAATCCCGGGAAAAACGGGAGGGTTGACAGGTATGGTAAAAAAAAAAAAAAAAAAGACTTAAAAAAAAAATTAAGATGACTATAAAAAGGTCATAGTCAATTTTTATTAATTTAATTGTTTTAACTATAATTTTATGTAAAAAAAATACGTTTTTTTTAATTATTTTTTTTTTACAGTGAATATTAGCAGCAAATCAGTATTTTTGGTAGATTTAATTAATATAATAATCACGCCACTGTTTTTATTCTATTTCTGCATGAGCAATGTACAAAACGTTTATTAAAGGGGTCATATGATGTTGCTAAAAAGAACATTTTGTGTATTTGGTGTAATGAAATGCGTTTATGCGGTTTAAGGTTATAAAAACATTATTTTCCACATACTGTACATTATTGTTTCTCCTCTATGCCCCGCCTTTCTGAAACGCGTTGATTTTTACAAAGCTCATCGGTCTGAAAAAGCGAGGTGTGCTGTGATTGGCCGAATACCTCAAGCGTGTGACGAAAATGTTACGCCCCTTACCATATTGTGATGCCCTGTCCGGCCAGAGCGACGAGACAAAAACATTAAAACCCATTATAAACGAGGCATTTGTTGCATCCAGTGGGGACATAATTATGGATTATAATGACTTGTACTGTCTTTTTACGCGTTGCAACGCGCCGCGTAAACATAAAACCATGTCTGCATTTGTGATCGGAGAAATGACAAACAAGCGCTACTCTACACTGCCCAAAACTCGCGTTTGAATCATCAGTGGCAAATTCTTTAAATATAAAAAACACTTACAGTCGGTGAGTCAGAACAGCCGGCATTGTAGTCTACTCTCCCAGGTTCAGGAAACAGTCCTCCATAAAATGTGCTGCACACATCTGAATATTTGGGTTAAACTATTCTGGAACAGTGTTGTAAATACAACTTAACCACTGATTTCTAGTCGTGTCCTCTTTTGGAAGACCAAACAAAGTAGTTTCGCTTTCACAATGAAACACTATGCAACAAAACTACAGCGAGAATTAAAAAAAAAAAAAGTTACGCCTTCTTTCTTTGCGTGAACATTTGGGCGGCGTTATGCAAATCTTGAGGCGAGATTCGAGAGCCTCTGGAGAGGGGCAAAGAAGGAAAAAAAAAACATTTCTCAAGGTGGTTTGTTTGAATTATTGCATTATGTTGAACGGTAGCCATAGATGTTAATCTACCTCATTTCATAGGAAGATTATTTTCTGCATGAGAAAGGTTAAGAAAGAGCCAAAAATTCATTTTCTTGCTGTCTAATTTTTTTCCCCTAAGTTTTGCCTCTTTGTTGACTGGAACCAGCTGGTGGGGTGAAAGTAGAAAATACTGTGCATGGTGCCTGTTACTGAAAACAAAGGCTAGGAGAAGTGTAGAACAGAGCTGAAAGGAAATATTTCCCCATCTGCTTTGACAATCAGGACTTCAGCTGGTGTATAAATTATTCTAGATTAATCCATGATGTTTGCATCTGCACAGCTGTTTAATGCTGGAAGTTGCAGGAGCTCCACATGGATGACTCCTATCTGCATCCCAGAGAGTTTTGTCTCTTTTTCCAAAACATGCCTTTCTTTTGTCTTTATCTTGCAAGCGGGAGGGAGGAAAGGAAATGGACGAAAAGTGGCCTCTCATTTTGAGAGTAAGTGGACAGTATTGCAAATCTTTTTTTTTTTAAACAATGAAAAACCCAACTGCTGTTTTTTCCCCCAGACTAATATACATCTCATTTTTAACAGTAACCAACGATTCCTTCCAAAAAGGTGAGTTATTTGGGAGTGTATATATATGTGGAAAATTCTCTAACTGTATGTGTCTTATGGAATATTTTCTAATAATGTATGCATCTTAGTGGGGAATGAGGGAGTCATTAAAGGATGGACTGAGGAGCAGCTGAATATGAGCAGGGCAGTGCATTATAATTCAGAGACTGGCACCTTCAAAGTGGAGCGCAGCGGTGTCTACTTCCTGTACTGTCAAGTGAGTTAAACCAGTTTTCAGCAAACTTTCCAGGCACATCGCCAGCAAAGTGTGTATGTGTGTGTATATGTGTATATATATGTATGTATGTATGTGTGTGTGTAGATATAGAGACAGACAGACTAGATAGATAGATAGAAATACAGACTAGATAGATAGACAGACAGACAAAGCCAGACAGACAGACAAAGCCAGACAGACAGACAAAGCCAGACAGACAGACAAAACAAGGAGCAGCTGAATATGAGCAGGGCAGTGCATTATAATTCAGAGACTGGCACCTTCAAAGTGGAGCGCAGCGGTGTCTACTTCCTGTACTGTCAAGTGAGTTAAACCAGTTTTCAGCAAACTTTCCAGGCACATCGCCAGCAAAGTGTGTATGTGTGTGTGTATGTGTATATATATGTATGTATGTATGTATGTGTGTGTGTAGATATAGAGACAGACAGACTAGATAGATAGATAGAAATACAGACTAGATAGATAGATAGACAGACAAAGCCAGACAGACAGACTAGATAGATAGACAGACAGACAAAGCCAGACAGACAGACAAAGCCAGACAGACAGACTACAGACAGACTAGACAGACAGACAGACAAAGCCAGACAGACAGACTAGATAGACAGACAGACAAAGCCAGACAGACTAGATAGATAGATAGATAGACAGACAGACAAAGCCAGACAGACTAGATAGATAGATAGATAGACAGACAGACAAAGCCAGACAGACTAGATAGATAGATAGACATACAGACAGACTAGACAGACAGACAGACAAAGCCAGACAGACAGACTAGATAGACAGACAGACAAAGCCAGACAGACTAGATAGATAGAAATTTTAAAATGCCACCTATGGAAAACTTTCAAATCAAATTCAATTTTCTGTGGTTCCTGTTAAATCTAATCAAAAGGCTTCTGGTTTAGTCATAACTTATTTTTTTGTTCCCTGCTGAAAGCCATTTGCTACATCCCCTGCTCTGAATTGGTCTCTCATAACATTCCTGATTCACTTGTTCTCTTTCTCCTGCCGTTTGGCACATCTGCATTTCCACCCCCCAGGTACACTTCAACGAGAACCAGAGTCAGTACGTGAAGCTCGAGGTGTCCGTTCCTAAGGGCCCTTTGCTCCAGTGCATCGAGGGGTACGGAACCACACCAGCGTCTGGCACGCACAGGTTTCACTTCCTAAAGCCTTGCCAGGTCTCCGGCCTCCTACGCCTTAACAAGGGCGCCGAGCTGAAGGCCGTCACCGGAGGTTTCTTCAGTCTGCAGATGTCGGGCAAACACTACTTTGGCCTCTTCAAAGTCAACTAGAGGCACAGACGGTTTTCCAGACACCTCAGCTGTATGGACAAAATAGTTTTATAGTTTTCCACAGATCACTGGCCTAAAAGTACCTAACCTAAACCTGTCTCTTTGAACTTGGCGTTGCCTTTAAAGAGGAAATTTTGACTACGCGAGGAACGTTTCTATAACCAGCTGACTGTGGTCACAGATGACCCCTTTATGAACGCAAGTGCCCTTCCATGGAGATGTCATCGGGATGTTAATGACTGCACATCTTGCCTTGCTGGACCAATTTATGGAGAATCATTTGGTACTCTGTCGGTTTAGCTGCAAATGTCTTATTAAACGCAAACCAGCACAATTTCTACTATATAAATATAGCATTTAATTACAGCATACCAGAGACATTGCTCCAGCAGCGTGGTTGGCTTATATACTGGCATAACCAGTTTGACCAAAAGGACTATGAATTTTCAGCAGCGTTGCAGGCCACTACAAGTATGAGAGGTTTCACCACTGGTTACTTGGCTGGACCAAAACAGAGTGGCCCTAGTTCCTGAACTGCCTTACCACTGGATGGGTTCAGCGCAGAAAAATGAAAGTTTTAGTTGGTCGTTATGAAAACTCAGAGTGACTAGATATGCATCAGATAATACAAGAAACTTTACTTTTGTTGTTGCATCGATTTGAAACAACAAGCCACACGTTTCTTTCCAAATACACTGTCACTGTGACATATGAAACATATTAATATTTATCGATGAAAAGGCCGTGACTTCAAAGCAGATGATGTATCTTGTGTACTGTACTGTGTCACTGAAAGTGGATTATGTGTACATATGGCATGAAGGTTGATGGCATGGGCGGCACAGACCTTTAAAAAAAAAAGTCACAGTATGCCTTTAGTTTTTATATAATGTGCAATTTCATGTTATATTTTTTAAAAAGTTCAAGTTACAGATTTTTACACCATCATTATTTCATTTAATCTCACTAATTAGAAATGTATGAAACCACTTGTGACTCGAATCTGTCAATGTCTACCTGACCTACCGCTCCTGAAGCCTTTCGTAAATCTTGTCAATACTGTCAATTAAATCTGAAATGGAAATTACAACCATGCACTTTGCCCCAAATGGGTTTCCTAATAATGCAGCTGGCTTCCTCTTTGTATTTCCTGAACCCTCATGTGGACCCCTGCAAACCGTCTCATTTCCACTTGCTTCTGGACTCTCACTTCCTGTATCTCAATCTGCAGCAAATAGTTGAAAACCTTTGAGGAAAAACATGTGCTTATTCCCTCCTGATCTCTAGCCCCATTCCTTCCCCCTTGTCTACTATTTTTTAATTTTTTTTCATCTGTTTGGGTTTACTCCTCACATAAAATGCACATTTGGCTTGCGGCACCGTTTCTGCTTTTAAAACATCCCAGATAAACCTGACTGGGTCAAGATGAAGTTTAAGGTGATGGAGGCAGTTTCGATTAGAAAATATGCACAGGTGTTTCATTTTCATGGGCAAATTTTTTTTTTAATCATCAGAAAAATTTATTTTACCTGTAAATTGGGTTGAAGATATGAGGTTCCTGCATTTATGGGTATTGAGAAGGTATCAAGAAATGTAATCTCTGTAGGTTTTCAAAGCCAAAAGACCTGTAAAACTGATAAAGAAGTTATACTACAAGCCTGCAAAATGCAATGCAGCTGCCATAAATTATGCTGTAATATTAAATAATCGTAGTCAAATAGGACAAAATATTAAGACTTTAAAAGACATTTGAACATTTGCTTGGCATGTTTTATTTAAACAATCAAGTCTGAATGTGCCAAATCAAAAAGATTATTAACATGTTCCTTTCGGTGTGCCGAAATGCTCTTTTTTTGTGTAGTTTTGACCTTACAAGGCTCCAGACAAAAACACGAACCTCAAGTTGTCATCACAGTAACAGTTCCTTGACTTGTGGGTCTGTGAGGGAATCAGTTGTGAATTCATTAACGGTCCAAGACTACGCATGCGCATTGGCTGCTCTAGCCTGAAAAATCATAAAAAAAATAAAAATTTGAACGCTATTTCAGCATAAGAAAGAATCTTTTTTAGACAGTTGTTATTCTATAGTCTTTAGTAGAAGACACTTTAACAAGATGATTTCTGACGAAACCAAAATGGACGCTCATAAAACATTGAATAGTGAGTAGATTTTAAACGACTGTTGCACATATAATATACAGTGGGTACGGAAAGTATTCAGACCCGGATTAACGCACAGGCTTGCCTAGGGGCCCCACGTGTGCAGGGGCCTCGGAATGGCCAGACTTTTTTTTTTATCATTATTTTAAATTTACTTTAGCGTGAACAAAAAAGACCCGGATTGGTCCACAAGAACACTTGATTCTGCTCTCAAAATGCACCAGATTTATGCATTTAAATTTTAAAATGAACAAAATTTTCTTATGGGGGGCATACCCCCGGAACCCCCTAGAGTAGAGCAACCAATGTGCACCCACAAAATCCTGTGGGAACATTGGGAATGTAAAGGAAACACTGTAGGATTGGCTGTCTCAGTGTGTGTGTGCATGCCAGTTCACCTTACTATTTGCGTGGACCATGTAATGGCACTAAATACATTTCTCCAGTAAAGCATAATGATTAAGGGGGGCCTCACACAAAGAGCAGCCTAGGGGCCCCTGACCACCTTAATCTGCTCCTGTATATATATATATTTTTTTTTTTTTATAGTATATAGTAACAGTCTGGAGCACTGCAATAGATATTCCAATGAACCGATTAATTCTTCCAGTCCCAACTCTTTCCTGTATATATATATATATATTTTTTTTATAGTATATAGTAACAGTCTGGAGCACTGCAATAGATATTCCAATGAACCGATTAATTCTTCCAGTCCCAACTCTTTCATAACAAGAACAGCAAAACAGAAATTGTTCAGTTGAATTTTTATTTTATTACAAACAAAACAAAACAAAAGAGAGAAAGATGCATTATTAACATGTTCCATTCGGTGAGCCGAATGTCGATCACAACAATGTCACTGACTGTCTGGAATCACAATGTACACAGTGACGCTTAGCAGGAAACAAACAAAATGACAACAAAAAATATTAAAAGACAGAATGAAAAATGGACAGAAAGTGCTTGATTTGACACAACTCTCCCAAATAATACCAAGCACTGAAATGAACGATATTTCAGTTTTAACAAAAGGCTCTATACTCGGGACCAGGGCAAATAAATTAACATTTCAACTCTGATCTGTCCGAGTTGAGGCCTAGCTAGGAATAGTACAACTGCAGGCATATACAAGAGTTCACATCTGCTGATTAACCCTTTACAGTTGTATTACCATGTAAGGCAATTACATTACAAGGCTTGTATTTGTAGGAGCCAAAGATCATAAAGAAACACTGCGGAAGGAATTTCATTTGCTGATTTAAATATGTGCATTCATATGTTTTCAATTTCATGGTTACACGTGATCCACTGCATACAAGTTATTCGTTTGCAAGGCCCAGATCTAGATATAAGCAATGTCCGTTAGATAGCAATGATATCAATCATCCCGAAGTCCTTTTGACCTCTTTGTGGAATATTATTACAAGAGGTCCGGGCCTCCCTCTCTTTCTTTACCGACATGGGGGGTCCGTTCAACACTGTAGGGAAACAAAGAAAGGGAAGTTAATGATCTGTACACTAATTATAATTAGCATTTTTTGTTTATATCAAAACAGTTGAAAGTTGAATCTGACCTTCTAATCTTTATTGTATCACATTTTCCATTTCTCACTGGCTGACTTCTCCTTCCTCTTTTCCCTTTCTGTCTCTTTAGGTTTCATTCGCTAACCGTGAATGTGCACATACTTGTGCGGAAAAAACCATGTGTGAATGTTTTCACACAGAAATCATGATTCATCCATAAGCTTGGTTTTTTCTTCTTCTAATTTTAGGATGAAGTTGTTCCTCAATTTTAAATTTGGTAAAAAAGTCATCATGATGATCAGTGCTGTCATTGCAGGGTATTCATGCCCATTGTGTCTATTATACCAAGCATTCACTATTCAGGGGCAAATACGTGTGTACATTATGTACTTGAAGACTAACAGTTTACATGGAGAACAATACTCCGATTTTAATATGATTAAGATAATACTCTGATTAAGAATCTACCATGTAAACAGAGATTTTTGATTACCTTAATCCGGCTAAAGTCATAATCGAAGTAAACAGAAATGGAATTAAGACATGTGGAGTATTCCTATTTTAGTCACATTACTGAAGTGCAGTATAGACATGTAAACACCTTAATCACATTATTACCATTGTGTAGGACTTTTCGCCGCATTTTGCGACAGGATACACACATGGCAAATAAAAGAGCTTCAACACCGCCGTCGTCTGTATGCACGTACAAATAATTAACTGCACTTGAAGCTTTCATAAAATTAAAAATGAAACCCAAAACTGTACATAGCATCATCACGAAGAAAAACTATATGTTTATGCGTGAAATTCCGGAGGGGACGTAATGACGTGCGCCATTAATCGAACCATGTCCTATAAAATGTAAAACGGGAACATGAAAGGAATATTCTAAAAGCAACTCATGTAAACACCATAATCATAATATTGGCTTATTTAGAATAAGGTAAATAATTCGATTACTGATGTCCATGTAAACGTAGTCATTGTTTAGAAAGCAGTCATTCAAAGCGATATGATCAAGAGCACAATGGCGATGGCTCACTGATTACCAGACAGGAATAAGAAACCTGCTGGATTTCAGTCATTTTAAATGTTGTGAGTTTTAAGGATCAACATTATAAATGAACGTATAAAAGACAGATCATTGATTTGAGATATTTTGAGATAAATATTACATTCAATCTGGCATGAAATGAAAATCATCCTATGAATTTTGTAAATCAGTCATTCTTGAGACGTGGGACAAAACGGGTCCAGCAAGGGTAACTGCTATTAGCTTTAAAAAATACAAATATTTTCAATTTTAAATGTCATGAGGGATTAATAATAGAATGTATTTAACACCATTATCACCTTCGATTTAATTTTCTCATTATTATACCAAATCTGTGTTTCTTAATGTCCTCTCACTACGTCTAAAACAGTGTGTCCACAGAGAAGGGTTCAAGCATTCATATGCAATAAAATGGATAAAAATGTTTTTTAATGATGAAAAAGAGCTTGTTTTATCAAAAGCAACACTTAATAATATCTCCTATCAAAGCAAGGTTGTTTTTTTTAATGACGCATATTTCATAAGATTTTAAAGTTGCGTCCCCACTTTTTGTCAACACCGTCAGACATTCAATAAAATGTACTAAATTTAGGGAATATCAGGGGCAGCTGTCACTCTAAAGGAGTCGGACCCCCTTGCCACAGTTCACCTCTGCAGCAGAGTACATCAGTGAAATTCAGGTTTTCGTCACTACTTTCAAATGTGTCAACTCCGTCAGTTGAATATTTTGATAATATTTCATTATATTTTATATTTGTTGTGGAATTGTTGGTCACATGTGAAAGTGTAATCTGTCTGCTAACACCAGGATGTGTTTTGAAATGTTGAAAACATCTTGAATGCTGTTAAAGATAAAGTTGAAATTATATTACACAGTCCAAGGTCAAAAAACGCATTTTGTTAAAAAAGAGAAAAGTTGGGAGGTTGTATCAAAGCATAGCTCAGTAGCTTAGTACATATAAGATACATAAATGTAGTTTCATTTGTCTGAGTACAAGGTTTTATTTGTTCAATTTTGCACCCTGTTTTGTCCCACTTCTCAAGAATGACTGAAATGCGTGTTATTGATCTTATTGTGAACCATTCATCCATCAACAATTAATGGAAAGTCCCATCCTACATTTTCTTTTGTTTTGTTTTCCTTTCTTTCTTTAACAATTTTTCTTTCCTTGGATGCAGGTAACAATATGGAAGAAAAGATCTGCCGCTAATTACATGTCATAACTTTTAAGATAAATAAAGTGTTTTTAAAGATAAACTTGTAGTTGCCAGCATACTGTAGATGCATAGTTCACCCAAAAATTAAAATTCTGTCATTAATTACTCACCCTCATATCGTTCCAAATCTCTAAGACCTTCATTCATCTTCGGAACACCAAGGAAATATTTTTGATGAAATCCCGACAGCTTTCTGACCCTGCATAGACAGCAACACAACTGACACGTTCAAGGCCCAGAAACAGTGCAAGGACATCGTTAAAATGGTCCATGTGACATCAGTGGTTCAACCTTAATGTTATGATTATGAAGCTGGGAGAATACTTTTTGTGCGAAAACAAAAAAAAGGACTTTATTCTCTTCCGTTTCAGTGTCCGCTGCGCATTCACGAGAGTACAATGACGCATATGTGTGATGCTGCTGACGCAGGAGTCGGAATTCTGACATAGAACCAGGATGCGCTGCGCCTTGTTTACAAGCAGAGGAATGCACACACATGGCGTCTTGGTACTGTCGTGAATGTGCGTCAAAGACAGACACGAAGAGAAGAAATTGTTGAATGAAGGTATTTTTTTTTCAAAAAGTATTCTTGTAGCTTTATAAAATTAAGGTTAAACCACTAATGTCACATTTAACGATCCCTTGAATGTGTCAGCTGTTTTGCTGTCTATTGGAGGGTCAGAGGGCTCT